CCCGTAAGGCAAGAATTTCATTATTTGATTTAATTAAATCAGTCATGAATCACAATCTAGTGCACCCTCGTGTCTAGTGTCCTAATGTGTCCTAATTACTAGTGTCCTAATTATCTCACAAACTGGGGTCACATGTTTGGCTTCTTAGGTTTATTTGAAAATTAGGAGGATGGACTCTCTCAGGGTGTGCTCCTAAGACCTTAGGAAACCTACACTTTAATTTGTGTCTGAAGTGTTCTAAAGTGTCTAACCTCAATTAAGTGTCCCTTAATTAATCCTCGAACATTTTTTAGATCAAGCTTAACTCCCTATCAGACTCCTAAAACCTAAGGGGTGAACCTATAGTTTTGGCAAAAAATATTGTGAAGTGTGATTCAATCCTAATTAGGGTAGTTGGATTTAAGTTTATTCAAAGCTTAAGGGACCTAAATGCAAGTCTACTGATCTTTCAATCCATATCTCTAATCGTCATCTAAGCTCTCATTTTCATCCAACCCTCAACTATTTTTCCAATTTACAATTTCATCTTTCATATGCAAAAGGAATGATAGATGGTTCGCTATTCTATCTCTTCTTTAGGTTTCATCATCTCGAAAATCCAAATTCTATTTTTAATTTTCTCTACCTTTCTTTTTCTCTCATATTTCCTTTAAGACTATAAATCATTTCTGAATATAATTAAATCGGAAATTCTCATTTTTAATTTAACCGTTAAAAAAAAAATAAACAAAAAAGAGACCGATCCATTTTTAAAACAAAGTCAAACCAGTAAAGCTTAAAACAAAATCATGAATGCATCGGTCTAAAGACGTTTAAATTCATAAAAGGGTAAAAAAAAAAGAAGGTGATCTCTAAAAATCAACACTTAAAATATTTAAATCGATTTATGAAAGCCTCAACATGTCTCAACATGTAAATCAAACATGTAAATCAAATTTTAATGAATAAAGCTTCAAAAATGCAATTTGAACTTCATTAAATAAAATCTCAAGGTCCTTGAATCAATCTTAGAAAGATATCATCTTCTCACTCTCAGAAATTTTGGCCAACCTTAGATCTTCCCCCAAATGGGGTTTTAAGCAAGAGAGGAGAAGTGCAGCCACCTACCAGCCTCCCTAGTAAGCAAATCAGGTAAAGGGAGAGGAGGAGAAGGATTTAAGGCAAGAGGAAATGCAGTCTATGGCAGAGGAAGAGCCGGCTAGGTGGAACTTCATGGTTGGAGGCCCGCTCGGTTGAGCGGAGCTCGAAGAGGCGAGACGCATGCTCAATCGGCAGTGGAATGCCGCGTGTGAGGAGAAGAAGGCGAGCCATCTCATGCGCGAATGGCAGAGAAGACGCGGGAGAGGAAGATTGGGCTCGGCGAACCATGGCGCTGCTCGATCGATCCACGCCTAGGAGGCGAGTCGCGGGAGTTAGGGCACGCCTGAGCAGCTCTCGGTGGAAGAAGGGAAAAGAAACATGCGAATGCCGTGGGTTAGGTGAATAGAGATTAGGTCATACTGGAAATAATGGTAAATGACGTGGGAGCATCTCCCACTGATGAGTGGGACGCGGCTCCTGTGGTCGTGTGAAGACCGAACTTGGCAGACCTTTTTTTTTTATTTTCTTTCCAATTTCATCAAGTTTCATTCTTTCTTTTCATTCTTTTTTAATCATTTTCTTTATGTGTTGTATTAGGGTTTGCGGTCGATATTTTTGTTATCCATTCGATAGTTGTATCGTAGGGTTTGAGTGGTGCTCTGGCTGTATCTCTCTTGAGGTGATGATTTTCTTCCCCATATTTGTCTCTTCATGGTACTTTGAATATGAAAATTACTCTATATATCTTAAAATATTTAATGATTTCAAAGGTTTTAGGTTATGCACTGGTTTTGATGAGTATAACTTTAACATAATTATAATAACTGCTGTTTATACATACGCATATATTATTTGAGGGTTCCCTATTGTCCACTATTTACAATGTTTCAACGCCGGTGTGGTCATTTATGTTTTCTGTTGTATGTATTCCCTTCTTAGGAGGCATCAGAGCTTGGAGTATGATATTCTGCATTGCTGACACGTCATTAGTTTGTTCACCTGGCTAAACTCAGCAACGCTGGTTAATATAAAGAAGAAAATGTTACATATATTTCATGTCCATAACGCAAATGTAGTAGTTATTGTTAGAAGTTTTGAAGATTGGATTTATTTCCTTTCTTGTTTTTTGTCTTCCTATTTCATGTTATTTCTTTTTTCTCCAGGCAATTATTAAGAATTGATTAATTGGAAATATGGGTGTTATATCTTTTCTTTCCTATTTTATTTTGTTTCCTTTTTCTCTAAGTAATTATTAGGAATTGATTAATTGGAGATATAGGTGTTATATCTTTTATTTTATAATATTTTCATTTTCTTGTCTTTCTTATTCAGGATTCATATAAGGTTTATTTATACTACATTTTTCGTATCAATAAAATAATTCCACTTAATTCTCAAAAACCAACATGAAATCAGAGACTTGAAACAAACCCTAAGGTCTTCGGAGGAGAAGATCTCCTACTGCCGGAAACTTCCTCTCCCTACAGGACTCTGCCGCCTGAACTCCTTTCTGCAAAAGCTAGCCGTAGGAACCCTCTCCCTGCAAGCCCTGACCCTGAAAACATCCTCTCTCTGCAGGACCTAGCCACCTAAATTTCTTCCTGTAGGAACTAACCCTCGGGACCCTCTCCCTGTAGGCCGTAGATGTCGGAAACTTCTCCCTACAGGATCTACCTGTTGGAACTCCTTCCTGCGGGAACTAGCCGCTGTAACTCTCTACCTACAGGTCGTAGACGCCGGAAACTTCCTTTCCCTGCAGGACCTAGTTACCGGAGCTTCTTCCTGCAAGAACTAGGTGCCGAAATTCTCTACCCGCAAGTCCCTAGCAGTTGGAAATGCTCTTTGGCGGCTGGAAAACTTTCTGTTGGCCGCAAGTTTCTGCATGCTTTCTTAATGGAGGTGCATCTTCCTGCAGTCTTTCTGCTGCATCCGAATCTCCTCACTGCCGACGTTGGAATTTCTATAAGCAACTGAAACTTCTACCGAACACTCCACTCACAAGACAATCGCGAGAAAAATAAGAAGAAAGCAAGATTTCTGACCTTTTTGGTTCATATGCTAAGTTCTCCTATGTTGCACTTGTGATTGCGTTTATTTCTTTCTTCGGAATTAATCATGATTTAGCTGGGATGCTCTACCCTCTGCTGATTTGTTTCATGGGCATTATCATGTGTTTGATCACAATTTTTTTTGCAACTGATATTTTTAAGATCAGAGCAGTTCGAGAAATTGAGTTTACACTTAAGAGGCAGCTAATAATTTCCACTGCTCTCATGGCTGTTAGGATTGCAATTGTTAGTTCGTTGGCTCTTCCATCTTCATTCACCATCTTTAATTTTGGTGTTCAGAAGGAACTAGAGAACTGGGAGTTGTTCTTTTGTGTTGCAATTGGACTATGGGCTGGTCTTGTGATTGGATTCGTTACCGAATACTACACTAGTAATGCGTTCAGTCCTGTGCAAGGTGTTGCTGATTCGTGCAGATTTGGCGCTGCCACAAAAGTTATTTTTGGACTTGCTTTGGGATACAATCAGTCGCAATTCCAATCCTTGAAGTGCATGATCACTGGTGGCTAGAAACTTCTGATGTGGAAGACGTTGGAAGATCTTATGGGCTTGTTAAAGCTCGTGGTGTTGTAAAAGTTGATGGTTGGTTTACTGCTTTCCTAGAACGAACGCAACCATTCTCTACTGCTGGTCAGCAAGTTTGTGTGAGTTGGAGCCTCTGAACCAATCAAATCCGGATACCCATTTTGCCATGTAACTTTCTTTACAGGTGTTCTTTCTTTTATTTTCTGCAGTTTATACCCTGCAGTTTTTCCCGCAGGTGTTCTTTTTTTTCTGCAGCCCATACCCTGCAACATTCCCTGCAAGTATTCTTCCTTTCTACCTGCCGACCTTCCCCACGGCATTCCCTACAAGTTTTCCTTTTTTTTTCTTGCAGGTCATACCCTATAGCTATCTCTGCAGATGTTCTTCCTTTTTACCTGTAGTTCATACGTTGTAGTTGTTCCTGCAGGTGTTCTTTTTTTCCTGTAGGTCATAAACTGCAGCATTCTTTGAAGGTGTTCTTCCTTTTTACCTGCAGGATTATACCCAAAAATTTTCTCTGTAGGTGTTATTCTTTTTTTACTTATAGGCCATACCCTGCAACTTTCCCTGCAAGTTTTCTTTCTTTCTCTGCAGCCATAACCTGCAGCTTTCTCTGAAGGTTGTCTATTTCTCTGTAAACTTTCCTGCAACATTATCTATAAAAGTCTTCCATCTACCTACAACACTATAGAAACTGCAGTCAACTAAAAGTATCCCTAAATGCACTTGGGGCTGATTATCAAATACGAGACAAAGACTTTAAATTCTATCTCACAAAAGATCTTCCTCAATCCAAGTTGTACATGATTGACATGTATGTTTCAACTTGAGGGGGAGTGTTAGAAGTTATGAGGATTGGATTTATTTCCTTATTTTATGCTTTCTTCTTTCCTATATCTCCAAGTAATTATTAAGAATTGATTAAGTTATTATGTCTTTCCTTTCCTTTTTTATGTTGACTTTATCTCCAAGTAATTATTATGAATTGATTAATTGGTGTTATAGGTGTTATAAATTTTTTTATCTTGTCTTTCTTATTATAGAATTCATGTAGGGTGTATTTATATCTCCTTTTCATATCAATAAAATAATTTCACTGAATTCTGAAAATCTAAAGTTGTCATGGTAAGCAAGTTTAATCTGATACATGTAGTTTCTCTTGTTCCTCCTAATCACTAAAGTTGGGAGGGCTTTATTGAAATGGAAATAAGTTTTTTATGGTTTTTAACTCTATATATGCGAGCTTATCAACCCCCTATTTTTTCCTTTTTTTCTTTTTCTTTCTTTCTTTTTTTTTTTTTTGTTATTTTTCCCCTTCTACATCATCAGGCTTTAAAGAGTTTTCTTGATACCGCAGAAGCTGAGGTTAGGTCACTAATATCATTGTATAGTGAAGTGGTGAGCTATATTTTGATGATAACAATTTGAAAGCTATTTCTAAAATATCTGTGTAGTCTTATGAAGACATAATGGTGCAGGGTAGAAGTGCAGATTCATTGGCACAATATTTCGGAGAAGATCCTGCACGTTGTCCTTTTGAGCAAGGTAACCTTCCAGATGCTGTAGCTATACATGTTTTATTTTCTATTTTAAATTTGTGCTAAATTTGTTATGGTCACATTTAATTTAATATAATACCGGCTAGTTGGATAAATGTGGACCCGCTAATTTTAAAATTCCAATACCACCTACTATAGTGTCATGTGCGCTTTAATAGAAAAATAAGCCAAGCTTCTCTAAATTGTCAATTAGAAAAAATTTTGTTTCATTTAATTGTGAGTGAAAACAGGTCAAAGAAACATGTGCATGTGAGCGAACCATTCTCATTCAAACAAAAAATGTTTATGATTTTAAAATCAATAAAAATTTTGTGGAAATAGTTTTTAAATAATACAAACTAATTGGTGAATTACTAGAGCTTGAAAGTTATTGGCTTCCAAATTGCGCTTGATGATTGGTAATTTCATCCCTTCATCATTGTGAGTTGATAATTTTAAACCAAATGGAATTTTCAAGTTTTTTTTCTTCCCAAAAGAAAAAAAACCATTTAGTATTCCTTTCATTTCAATTGATAAGGTCTAAGAAAAACAAGATATCACTAGGTTATTTGAAAGTCTTGATAAGAGAATATCTCCATGAAGAAATAGCCAAATTCTCTATGAATTTGCTTGATGACTGAATGAGAATAGAGCCTCCAAATATTTGAGATATTATTTCAGCAAAGTAAGATGGTGAGATCTTCTTCAAATACGTCCTTACACATGCCATAAGTGCCATTGTTAATGATCGTTCTGTAAGGAGAACTTGTTAAGAATTATCCTCATTAAAATCAAACAAGCATTGAAATTTAATAGGAACAATAAGATTACAAATTTAAAGTTAGGTTGGGTATAAGCACTACCGTCCATTACAAAGGAATAGAAGGAAATGCACTACTTTCTATTACAAAGGAATAAGAGGAACTCATAGAAAACATCTTCATGTGAGAGAAGCCATTGTCGGATGTCTTTGTCACGACTCGATCTGATAGCTTTGAATTAATCATGTTAGGAACCGCAGTCGGACGGTATTAACCTTTCATTTATATCATTTAATAATCGATCATAACTTCGAATAATAAAAAGAGTCACTAAAAAAATCCATAAAGTGCACTAAATATAAATCTAAATCATCCTAAGTATCAACATAGACTGAGAGTAAAACAATATCACAATCCTACTAAAAATTGTCCAATATTTTTTAAAATTAAACGACATAAGAACTAGAAGCAAAATCAACAATCTACTTCTTAGTATTAGTAGTCCTTACCAAATCCCTCTGGTCAATGATATCAACCTAGTATTTTACTTGAAAAAAGTAATTAATTTAGCAGTAAGTTTACCATAATTCAGTGAGCAATTATGATTTTGTTATGCATTAAATTAATATTTGAATGCTATGCATGAATGTCTAAAAAAATGTATTTCTTTAATAAATCAAATTATAAGCTTTCGATTTAAATTAACCCATGTTTCAACTTAAGTATTTATCCTTTTGACCTTTGCCTTATTTTAAAAAAGTTATATTGAGATTATTATCATAGCCGAAAGTATCATCAAATTATACTAGTAGGTACCCTAAAAAATTTGCGCCCGAAGACACACATTTATTATTTTCAATTCATTTATCGTGCAAGGGTACATCGCATCCCCTACCAGTAACATCTGGGAGTAAATCTTGCTTGACTTTAGACCTTCTCTTTTTATATCAATTTAAAATCATTTAAATGTACATTCATATTTCAATTATTTTTCTCTCATTTGTGGGACATCTTTCAAGCATTCAAAGTGCAAAACATAAATAAAAATATATTTTTCTAAAATGATATTGCAAGTTTATTCTTATTAATTTGAAATGCAACTTTTAAATAAATCATGTATCTAATACTAATAAGAAAGTATCTACTCACTTTAATTGGTGTGACAAACTCTTCTTAATTTTCAATCCTTTAAAGCAGAAGTGCTTCAATCATTGGTGATATAGAACCTAATATTAACATTTATTACATATATTTATCCTGCTAATTAGTTTGGAAATTAATAAAATTTTACACATACATTTCTAATAAAGTCAACAATTCTTTCAAGCCTTACATAGCAAAATTTTCTCGATTCCTTCATATCTATTATTTATTAATTGAACTCACTATTAATAATTGACAAAGGTTGAATTGAAGAAATGTTAATTAATTCATTAACAATCATAAAAAATTTAAATACAATTCAATTTACTATTTAACCAAAATAATAAAATTCTCACTTACATATTAGCTTGGTTCACTTCTTTATGCATGATGTTGCTTGCCTCCCTCTCTTCGCATGGGAGCTTGACTTCAACATTAACGACGAATCAATCTCCTGCCTCTTCCATCACCCGTAGTTGATTGAGAGCAGTGAGCTTCACATAGAGAGAAAAAGTTGCACGATCTTCCCTCCTTCGGATTCTTCTTCTCATGCCTTTCACGTAAATGACATCGTCCTTCCTCCTACAGCACCCGTACTTGACACCAAAACCTTCTGCACCCACAAGCAATTTCAAAGTCTCTTCCAAGAGAAAGGATGTTTTCCTAGCCGCACATAAGTCTTCCTCTTTCTTCTTTCTTCTTTCTTCCACTTTGCTTGATTAGGGCACAACTCCTCTTCTGCACGAGTCTCGTAAGCAAAGTGACCTCTTCTCTTTCTTCCTTATTTTTCTCCATCAGTCGGCTAGGGCACGTACTTTGCCCTTACTTCCTCCGTTTCCTTCTCCTTCACTGTTGTTTCTTCCTTTCTGACGCGGGGCTAGGGGGGTTGAACCAACCGATTCAACAAGGGGGTTGGTTCAACATGTGGTAGGCCTCAGGTGGGGCTGGTTTTATCTCCCAAAGGGAGGGGTCTTCCCCTCCTTTCTCATCTACTATTATAAATAGGTCCTTTGATTTTTTTTTTTAGGTTTAGTTTTTGCTCAGTTTTTGTTTGGACAACGGTCGACGTCCCTTTTACCTTGAGGTTTGTATTCGACAGAGAGAAGATGCTTCGACGATAACTCGTCCTTAGATAGTGTGTATCTCCCTTTTCCAGTAGTTGTTGCTACTCCAGCGACCCCTAGTCGTTGGTTCCCACCCCTACTTTCACAGCAACGCCTCCTAACACTCTTTTCCTCCCTTTCGTTACCACTACCTGATTTCCTTCTCCCTCTCATGACTCCCATCCCCGAAAACCGCTTAATCCCTCTCCCTCCCAGCTGCAGGTGACTCAACCTACCTCCTCAACAGCCATCCTGTGACCCTACCTGCCCCCTTTGCACCTCTCAACTGTCGCTAAACCCCCCATCCCCCTGCTGCCCTACCATTGTTACCATCCCAGCTGACTACAACCATCCATGACAATGCCCACCTTCACTTGTTGATCCCACCCAGAAAACCCCCTTCCCAACTACTGCCATCACCCATCCATAGTATCGGTCCTCTCCCTCCCTCACTTTACTGTCGCCCCATCACTCGTCGCCCTGCATGCCACACCATCTCGCCGCTATTGTGTTTAATGTTGAGCATAGCTTTAGCGGTGTATTTGTGTTTGGAGTTGTTTTATTCCTTATTTGAAGAGTAGTCATTGTAAACTTAAATTTCAGCAATAATAATTTCATTTCTATTATAATTTGGGTTAACTCCGACATCAATTGGTGTCAGCATTAGCCTGATCCTAGTTCTATCCTAGGGTTTTTAAGTATCTGTCTTACCCCTTGACCAAAAATTTTCTTTCATTTGTTAGGGCTGTTGATTCTAAAAAAATCGGCAACACTAAATCAAGTTTTACACTCTCTTTCACTTCCCAACTCTAAACTTTAGCCATGTTGCCAAGGTAATACCTGTCTGAGCCTACCCTGAAAAAGATACAGCGAGATATCCGTTTACTTCAACTGAGGCTTGCGAACGGGACATACTGTTGATGGTAACAGGGAAAGTCGAAGAGGCGAAAGAGATAAGAATTTCAACCCCTTCCATGGGGAGGATTTTAACGATGAAGAAGAAAGGTCATTATGTTTCAGAATCCAGTTTCAGATGAGGCCTTGAAATGAGATATCATTTGAAGGACAGAGGATATGAAATTAATCTGGATCTACTAGAGTTCATTGGAGGAGGTATAGATCCAGACGACTTTATCGAATGGCTACAATCAGTTGAGGGGTTTTTTGAGTTCAAGAAGGTGTCAAAAGAGAGAAGCTCGCAGCTATCAAATTACGAAAGAGTGCCTCCTTGTGATGGAAAAACTTGCAGAGGCAGAGGAAGAGAGAAATTAATGATAAGATTATCAAGTGGGAGAAGATGCGGAAGACGATGCAGAGAAAATACATCTCCTCACTACTCTCGGGATATGTTTATGATACTCCATCTCCTGCGCTGGAGAGACCTTTCAGTGGAGGAGTTCACGATGCAGTTTGGCCAGTCAAAAATGAAGTGTGATTTAGTCGAGCCAGAGGAACACATCATAGCCCGTTTTCTAAGGGGTTTGAAGCTTGTTATTAAAGAGGCCTGAAACCCGCTATTAGTAATGTGGTGCAATTGCAGTCTTATTGGTCATTAGGACATGTGCAGATCTTAGCATTGAAAGTGGAAAGGAAGTAGAACCAGAGTTGGCAACCACCCACAGTTGGGTACACCGGCAGGAGCACACCTCAGGTTGTTAAGAAAATTGGTTTGTCTAAGGTGGAGCCACCCTAAGTGAGATGAAGCACGAGAAGAGTAGCACACATACTACAGTTCCCGCCAGAAAATGCTTTAGATGTTATGGATTTCAGCACATCTCCTCTAGTGGCTCGAAGGGTCGAGTCTCGTCTTTTTTTGAGCAGGGTGTCATGGAGGAGGTTAGCGACGAGGAGAGAGCTGAGGTACAGGGTGATGAGTTTTGTCATTCGCGGTTCGACAGATCATGCATATCGAGGATACAAGTGTTTTCCGTTCATTTTTTCTCTTTTTTATTTTAAAATGAGTCGCCAGCTTGTCGATCGTCGTATAATTCCCCCATTCG